TTACCATATTCTATGCAACGAGACAAGTGCCTCATCTCACAAATAATCAACTAATTAGCAGTGAGTTGCGCAAGCAACTGAATAATAAAAACAATTAAGCCGATCTTTTTTCTTACAGACAAAACGTTCAACTGCAACTTTTGAGGTAGAATCTGGAGAGATTCCTCGATTGTACCATAGTGACAAAAATAAGCCATTTTAGAAAAATACATACATAATTATAAATGTTCCGTCTTAGATTTCTGAGCATGCCAGGGTATGTGGGTCTCAAGAGTTCCATGAAAGAGGAGGGCCAGCGTCGGTAGCGGTCGTCTGACTCCAGATCATTGAGCCACGTGATGGCCGAGTCGCGGATGTCCAGCCCGTACTCCTCCCACGTGTACGCCTCGCCCAGCTCCAGTGACATTAGTGAATTGATAAGGTTCTTCGGTAAACCTGGTATAATATGATCCATACAAGAACATATTCTCATAATTATGATATTTCAAAAACATAGATGTTTGGGTTTCAGGTTTTTATAATTATAATATTATAAGATATAGATATCTGACACATGGTTTTTTCAGATGCCATAGAATAGCTATGAAACAATAAGCATATTACCAAATTGAACATTAATTTAAAAATCTGTTTAGTCAAACAAACCGAGTGCATGTAAAGCATTCATTGGTCCGACGTCCTCCCTGAGGGCGGCGAGAAGGGCCATTACGTCCACCTCCTCGGCGTCATACTGGGCACCAGAAACCAGCAGCAGAGGCTCCGCGGCGCGCAGTCCCAGAGATGACGCCCACACGTCCTGGTTGTACAGCACCTCATCGCGGAATGAACGAGGCACATTCACGTGGATGAGGGACTTTGTCTGAAACAAATTACATTCACAATAGGTATAGTTAATTAAAAAAAACGTTAGTTATGAGTGTGAGAGGTACACCTGTAGAGGTAGGCAAAGAATGAGATGGATGAATTGTGTGAATAGTGACATGATCAAGAAGGTAGCAATAACTGTGATGGCATAAGATAAATTGAAAGACGAAAACCTGTTAAGCAGACATTAACAATAAATACCATCTGTAACCATTTCACCTTATTAAAATGTAATCTAAGCTAGCTAACTTTTTTTTATTAAAATTTGTCCATGTTCTTACCTGCATTGGGAAGTTCTGTGCAATAGATGTAAGCACTTTGAGCGCCTCATCGCCACCGGCGTCATTGGCGTCGACGACAGCGGCGGCAGCTTGCATGCTGAGAGCCTGCATCTGCCACACTTTGAGTGGAGCCAGCTCCTCACTGGACTCCGACAGGTGACGTCGGAACCGCTCCAATGGTGTGCGCAGGGCAGGGAATAAGTTCCTATTAAATAATATAGGAGAAATACATTTTAAATTTCCCTAGAAAATTTCAAATTTATATGAAAAGAAGTTATTTACAGTACACATTGTTTCTTACATCATCTTGCATAAGACACCCTTGACACAAAAGTTGCTTTAATCCTATTACATGAGTCTTAGACTAACATAAATTACTTAAGCAACAATGATTTTTACCTTCACATTTATGTTACAGTTAATAGAAAATCCACAATCCTCAAACCAACCACAAACTGGTAATATTTTAAAAGAAAACCTAAAAATTGATATCATCTCACTGTCAACTTACTTGAGCCTTCCAAAGTTAAAACCATCTATTTGATTCTGAGGGTCATTTTCATCTTCTTCCACAGACGGCTCTGCAGCATCTCCAGTGTCAGTCTCTTTTGGTGTTGTATCATCCTGACTTTTATACTCTGTGCTTTTCAGTTGTAACTCCACACCATAGCCAGATAGACGCAATTTAGGTCCACCTCTAGACTGTGAGAAAGTTACAATTAATTTGATGAAAAAGTAAGAAGATAAATAATTTCTGATATGTTATTAAAACCCATACCTTAACATTCCACCTTACAACATAATTGACTGCACCCATATCTGCATATGTAGCAAGTATTTTATGTTTGTTAGCAAATTCAACAGTTCCAAGTTCCCCATATAATATGGCTGTAAGAGTTTTATTGTCACTACTAGGATAAGAGTGGTCCAACAAATATGTCTCTAAAATATGATCTTCCTGTAAACAAACATTTTACATGAAAAGTTATCATTTAGCTTTGGAAATATTCATTATTATTGCAGTCAATATCCATTGCATTTACAAATGAGTTGCCATAATCTACTATTCCAAGTAAAGTCTTTCAGCACCATAAATGATAAGGAAAATATTTGCACACTAAACTTACAGGATTATAGGTCTTGTATGCTTTAAGTACATCACGTAAAGTGTCAGTATCACAAATTTTCCTTGATGCAATATGAACATATTCCTCACACTGAACATCTTTAGCACCATTTTGGGTAGCAATCTCATCAAACATACGAACAGCTGGAGAGGTCAAATGCATGGACAGAGCCAATTTTGCCATTCGCAATTGTGCCGGCGCCAGCAATGTACTCGCAATACCAATACATGCATCATAAACTTCTTTGTCAGTTGCTGAAATACGTTTAAGTTTGTATTAAATCCTTATTCTGTCAATATTGGTAACATTCGGTAATGACATCTACTCACCTAATCCTTGTAAAGGAGATTTTAAAGAGTTAACACCGTTAACAAATGACCAAAACAGATCAGAACTTTCGCCAGAAAGATATTCAGCAAGTTCTAAGACTATTGGAGTTGACTCCCACTTAGCGGTTACAAAAGTTGTGACTCCTTTTGCTCTCTTTTCATCTCGCTTTGGTGGATCAGTATCGGTAGATACAAAAACAAGAACGTGGATTAAAATTACTAATAAAGGAATTAGAAGGCCGGTGGACTTCATTGTTTACTACCAATTAAATTCAGTTTAGGAATATGAATATTTTTTATTACGTGCACAATGTCTTTTTAAAATGTCAAGTCATACTTTTAAATTAATATCGATTACTTTAAACTTAATATTAATTTGTTACAAAATAAATCCATTATAATGCTATCACAATGAACAAACCGAAACCGCCAATGACAGTTGAACACGGATCGAGCTACGATGATCCTACATTTAGAAATCACATTGTTGCAAATGTTTTTGCAAGTGTGTATTTTTAATCAATTTCTTATGTAAATACATACGCTTGCATATGATTAATAGGATTTTTCATTGATTATCATATTATTATAAAAGTTTTTTTCTCAATTTTTATTTTTAGGATTAAGTTTAACCAACGACAATGCAATGACATTTAGACGAACGTTCATAAATGTTATACATTTATTTGTTCTGTGATCTATATAATCTTTGAACACCTATTTAATTTCTTTCTGTCAGTCAATTTTAGCTTGACAAAAGATTCAATTTAAGTAATTTATTACAAAAATACAAATGGAATAAACTTAAATAACCGTCACATAATATTGTGAGTATGAGGTGTTTAAATCATTGTAATTTCATCTACATCTTAACTTCGTTCTTGTATGAGATAAGATTTTGTCAGAAGTGACGTAAATATCTTAATACCTGCAAAAATCCAACATATTTACCATTTTCTCTGTTACTTTTTGATATGGAATTATTAACTGCAATCACCTGGTATCGATAAACATAATTTACCATTTCAAGGTACAAATGATGCAGTTCACAACTGAAGAAGCTTATGCTCGGCTCATTAGCCATAACATGACTGTGCCACAACGAATTAAGGTAAATTATTTTATATAGACAGTCGTCGTCTTTGTTATAAAACAAAATATTATTAAAACATTACAAATGCATAACAGTATTAATGTCCCATACTTGTAGTAATCTGTAAATAGATCAATCATCTTTTTCTCTTTTTGTCTCTGAATTTATTTCAAAGAAAACAATGGGCATTGTCCAGATTTTAAAACTCCAAAGTACTATAAGTGCCTACAGATTTTGACAAATACATTTTTCCAAAACATTTTATTCAAGAAAGATTTTCATTAATAAATAAAAATGATTAAACAGGCACTTACATATAATCTCACTCTTTCCTGCACCTTAAAAAGTAATGAAAATATCCTTGTTTTTATTGAAAATGTAATTAAACTAAAAATGTTTGATAGTAAATTTCGTTTTTCTTTAGGCAACAGGTGATATAGTTGATGATGAAAATACACCCAATGGGTTAGTGGGAGGATGGGATTATGCCAATGAAAAATTTGATATGAAAGTACCAGAAAGGATACTCGTTGTTGGACAGGACCAGCACATAGGTAAATTATGTAAAAAGTTATAATTTGTCTAAATAAGAATACTTCATATACATCAATTATCAAACTAATCAATCTTATTTAGACAAACTGTAGGCACTTTTTAAAGCAACATGTAATAGTTTTTGTTTTTATTCTATTGATATAGAGGATTATTATAAATTCCCTGAATTTGTTTAAAGTTAAAATACAACAAAAACAATTTTCTTCAATAGGTACAAAGGCACCCCCAAGAGAAATTCAACTGGATAATGCGGTGCTACCAACCGACCCTGGTATGATTCGTGTAAACACTCCGCCACGTGTGATAACCCTCGACCAGCACTACTTCCCCTCAGCTGATGACTTCCCGGCCGAGGCAGGCACTTCGCCGCCCCGACAGGCGCGCACGATACGCTCTCAGGGTGATGGTGCGCGCGCCGTTACCCCTCGCTGTGACAATTTTAATGACTCCATTAATACCGAGTCTCGCCTGGTTTTAAGGTACATTGAAGCTGTCAAATAGTGCCTTATACAAGTTTTGAAACTGCCTTATTTTTATTGATGCATTATGGCGCTAACATGTCAGCTAGTAGCAAACTTTTTATTCTGAGCTTTGTATAAGCGTGTGCAAAATTAGGACCCAGGAACACAAAAGCATTTATATAAAACATTAGGTATAAAATATACAAATTGTAAAAATATCTGTACTGTGTATGTGATATTTAACATATTTTTTTAGAGATCCAACACCTCCAATGGGAAATGGCGAAGGCCTATCTATATCTGAGGAGCTAGTGCATTTACGGCGGCAGATTGTGAAGTTAAATCGACGTGTGATGTCCATTGAGGCAGAGCAGTTGCAACGTCAACAGAAGGAAAAGATAGCTTATGCTGTCGGAATTGCTTACATATTGTTCAAAATGATTGCTTGGCTCAACAGATCCTAATTGTATCGTAAGACAAAAATACTTAATGAAATATTGTTGACGTTTTTAAACCATTGGTTTAAGCCATTCTAAATATGGCATAAAGTTTAGAACTGTCCTTAACTTGGTGTAGCAAATGGGGTATGTTATAAATAATTCCTTAAAAGTTATGATTTATTAGTGTTTAGGTAGCCTTTTTTATAACCTATGTACATTTCTGCAATTCGTTGTACAGTGAATATACAAGCATCTGTTTGTATTCAATCACTACTACCCTCTATCTCATGAAATCTGTATGAATTGTTGATTGCAAGATTATTCATAACAGTATGATATGATGTGCTGTAGGTCATTTTTTTATTTAAATAAACCATAGCATTGATATTTAAAAGTGATTTTATTTAGCTCTTGTAAGGGCAAAAATTTAAGAATGTTCTATTTTTGCTCATTATTTGCTTTAACAATGTAAGTTTGTTCCAAGGTATTCTAGACCCACTGGACATAGTTATTTGTTATGATATTCTGAGGTCATAAAGTATTCCTTCATTTACAGTTGTAAGTATACTATTTTATTTAAGTAAGAACAACAAAAATAGTAATTATTAACAGATAGTGGCAAGGTATATTTTTAACCACAGATAAGATTGTAAGATATTGCAACCCAGTTCACAACAGGGCCACACCCTTTATCAGCAGCCATGTTTTTAAACAAATTACCAACACATTTATTGGCTTTGTCTATTATAGGATTTTCAAGAATCAGAATCATAACCTAATTATTAATAAAACATGGAGGTTTTCTCATTTTCCTAAGCATTTTAGGCGCCAACCCTAGCCTTCTATTATAAGCCATTTTGATAAAAAAAAAAAAGAATTTTCAGGGTAACACTCAATATATTCCACAAAATGCCATCAACACATTGGTACAGATCGTTATGTTTGATAAGAAACTATGACAAAGGTAAACATTACCAAGTTAAAAGATTCAGTTGGACAGAGACAAGTAGGTAATTCAATTTGCTGACATTAAAATCTGTTGATGTTATGTTACAGTCGGTTTATCCTCATATATAAATATAACTGAGAATAACGGTCCGCCGAGACGCTGCGCTAACCATGCATTCTTCACAACAGCCAACTTCAATGAGTCTACAGCAAGACGAGCATTGAAGTTTGTGTGAAGAGCTCGTCCCATTCCTTCTAATATTATTAAGTCTACTCCTCGAACTTTCATTTCAGCGCATAAACCTGCAAAATACCATTATCATGAAGATAAACATCTTAAACAAGCTATTGCATAAAAAGTATAATATGAATTACTACAACAGAATATTTTCTTTACAACTGATGAAGACATAGATTATTTTGTTTTGTATCACAAATTTTTGTGTGATACAACATGAATTTTACATAAAATAATTGCTAATTTAAATTAACTTGTTTATATTGATTAAAAATTAATTATTTAGGGTCCACTACAATTTCCTTGTTTATATAGTTAATATAATGTTTGTTATAGAATATTCAGACACAATATGTTAAGGAAATAAAATACATTTTGATTTAACATTCCTTAACATTGTTGTTATAAACGAATTCACAATATTTTGAATACCTCACCTACACTAATAGTTCTGAGATCAAGACATGGCCCTCTCTGTCCGCTGGATCTTACAACTAAATCTCCAGAAGCCATAGCAGAAGATATTACAGGACAAATGAGGGAAGCATGCCGCAGAACTTCTTCCAATTCCACATTGGTAATATCATTGAGAGCCGGCCACTCATTTGCACAGAGTATAACAGAGGTGCCTCTAAGTAATAAAGCTCTTATAAATGGCAAAATGCCTAAGACTATATCAACTCCACTATTGTCCACAAATACAGCTGCACAATGGTGCACTGTCTTCTGTAAAAATATTCATAGTTACAGCTTTATAAACAACATGAAAATGCACAGTATTAATTATGATTGCCCATTTTACCTCTAATTTCTCTAGCCATTTGTCTAACCCATCATATAACCATGGCCTGTTTTGAATCTTCTGCAAAGCACCATAAAGCCCACAATCGAGTATATCTGCAACGGCTTGAGCACCCCAGTCAAACATATTACCTTAAATAAGATTCATTTCATGTATTACATGATACATATTAAAAATCAAAATAATATCATCATTTAGAAGTTGGTTTACCAGCAAGAACTCCCCGACAAATCTCTGTCCATCTTTCTCTCTCGGTTGGTAAAGCATCAATTTCATTTAGTCTCGCTCGGAGGCCAGCAAGAGCAGTGTCATTTTCATATTTCTTTTGTTGTTTCCATAAATCAAAGAACCCCTGAGAACGAAGGCATGTTTCGTTGATGTCAAGAAGCAATCTTATGGTCAATTGCCCATGAGCACTAAAATCATAAATAATAAGTTACATAAATAATTTGAAAACATAATAAGGAGATTCAATATCTTAGACTGCCTTTAATTTTATCAATTCCATTCTGGGAGATTTTATAAGAATTCAATTATACAAAAGCAAGTAGATTACATTTGTGATAAATATCAAAAATTTATATGTATGCTCAAAAAAATTTTGTTCATGGACAAAGTAAGAAAAAATATGTTAATACGTGTTAACATTTTAAATCTAGTATTTTAAAATAAAATTTAATTAAAACGGTACTTACAGAGGGTTTACCCGAAGTTCTTTTATTGCCTCCACGTAACAAGTTTTAAATTTTAAAGCTCTTATTTCCACTGTAGGATCGTCATTGTTTGTTAATGCAAAATTTACATATTTCTCAACGAGTTTTTCGCACGTATTGAGCCAGTATTCTCTTGCTTCTTCATCTTTTAATAAGTCCAATGTATCAGGACTATATTTATCTGGCTCGTATAATATGTGAGAAAAGCCAAAATGTTCCATTATGGATAGAATTAAAATATTTTTTAATATTGCAATGTTAATTGTTTGCTAATAACTTATCCCATTTTCATACTTTATCACTATGCAAATATAATCTCCATATTATTTTATCTTATCAAACTAATGACAGCAGACGTGTTTTCAGACAAGCTTCGATTATTAAACATTCACCAACATTTAAAAAAATACTAAGTGATAGGAAATTAATAGTCTTACCAGATTTAATTTGAATGTTCTGCTAAAAAAAAATACATTATAAAAGTTACAGCCTCATGTATTCTTTTTTGTCCGTTATCTTTGTTGTTTAAAATGAAATAATTAATGGCTTTTACAATCCTTCGCCAAATTAATAATATTCATCAATGATTTGAAGTTAATACATCGACGGTTTGAAAAAAATTCTGCCGAGATCGCGGCAAATCACTAAATATAGTAACACTAGAAATGTCAATGTCATAACAAAGGGTTGTTGATTCAATGAACTACATAGGTATTTGAAAACCGATGATCATCCTTCAAATTTCAACCGTTAAACATTTTTCACTCAACTAATTGAGTTCAACGTTTGACACATATTTGATTAACTAGTTGATAAAACTAAATTAATGTTTCGTTTTCTTGAAGAAAGACCAAAGCCATTATGCCAGAAATTATAGATGTAGGTAAGATATTCTCTCCGTTACTTGTCTTTTAACTATATGATTTTGCCGCATAAATGCTACTGATTTAATTCGATTCAAATGGGCTTAAATAAACGAAACACAGCATCGTTGCCACCGCGGCGATTCGTTTATTGTCTCATGTTTTTACTCTGTTCAAAATGTCTATAGTCTATACCTATACTTCATAGATTAGAGATTAGATTGCTCGCTTCGTTTACTTGTGTTATTGAAATTATAGGAATGGGTTTAAAATGGAAAAGGCTGATCGTATTTTCAAAAGACTGAATTTTGATATAGTGCAGTGATTCAATGAGTGTCATAAGGTATTTAAAATAAAATAGTGATTTGTGTTGTGTGATTGATGTAACGAATCAGTGGTAGTGGCACGCAAGATGGACGAATTGTCTAAGGGCATGTCACAAACAGGAAGCACTGTTGTAACTGACAAAAATCAAGAAAGCGATGGTAAATTTTCATAATATATTTTACGTTTTAAAAATTTACAAGGTTTTAAGATTACTTAGAGAAAAGGATAACGAAATTAAAATTCTAAGCATAAAGTCAACAATTGTCATTCTCAAAATTGCTCCGATTAAGGGATATTTGAACGGTATCATTGTATGTAGTACATAAATCAACATGGTTAGGCTTTTATTAAATAAATTACGAATTTCATGTTATACATCCATTTCTAATTATACTCCAAGTAAAAAACAATAACATTGGAGCAGTAAGTAAACAGTAAAAACTATTAAAACGATATAAATTCACATGTAATATTTTGTACTATAGTGTGTTTGGCTCCTAAAAGGTTGAAAAAGCAATTATGTACTATATTGCTACTACTACTACCATTTAGGCATACAACTTAATGCAATTAAGAATTAATCGACAACTAAATGAATGATGGTTTATAATTTGTATATGAATAAATATTTAAAATACTCTGAATATTGGTAAACAGACACATGTCAATATTATCTGCTTATATGTGCTAATGTTAATATTATATTCTTTTCAATTTATTATGCTTGATAAGTTATACCTATGCATTGTTTTGGTTGCTTGAGAACTACAACTATGATAAGGAACCAAAACAGTGATAACTTTTTTGGGTGTTTATTAACTTTTAATCATAAAATTTAGATTGCTTTAATAGTAAGGAGAAATTCATCATAAAATTTCACTGTAAGGTCTCGACATAAAATGTATAAGTGGGGGTATTAAAATTAGTTGTAATAAAGACAATTAAAGTAGTTATTACTATTTTTTCTTAGGTATTCCTCTCAGATTAGTTTGCTAAATGAAAACTGATATGTATACATATCCTACTACCACTCTAGATCTTCATTTTTGCTGTGGAGGAATTGTCAAAAACCACAGCAAATCACCTCAAAGTCAAACATGCAAGCAAAATGTATCATTGTCATACTAATTTTGATTTGATTCACAAGTTATCCCACACTTATTTCAGTATTTATTTTACTAATATTAATGCAAAAGTTTAGATGGATGGATTGATGGATGTTTGTTAGAGTTTGTAGTCTAAACGGCTGAACGGATCTGGATGAAATTTGGCATAAATGTAGGGCCGATTTAAAATATTATATATTTTAACCATTAAATAGTTTTGTTTTCAGTGTGTTTTTCACTATTTTGTTTTTATTTCACGGGGACGAAGTCGCGAGCAACAACAACAAGCTTAATATACATAAATCAATTTAACAAGTGCTAAAATAGCTTGATTCAGTTATGTTTTTTTAATGTTTTAATATATTTGATGTCGAAATCTAAATTTAGGCTTCTGCATTCATAAAACCCCTTGGTTTTATGATTTTGTAGTAAAGATAACTTGAAAAAGCTTAAGACTAGATATTTGGCACTTTGTCAAGTCTCAAGGACTGCAGCCTTTTGATACAGCTTGTTTGCACAAATTTTGCAGCAGTAGCTCCTATCTATCAATAATAACAATCTGACACATGTTAATGATAGCTTAACTGATTTTAATGAGTGAGGTGTGATTTTTTTAATAATCAACAACTAATATTTGTTGTGTTTAGACACGTGTTGTGAAAACTGCTAATGCAGCCTTAATAGGCTATTGTTAAAAATAGAACTATGCAATTTCATCATTTTAATTGTCAGTTAAGTCTTAACTTCATTCAAAATCAATGTAAACAATGGATAAAATGTTTCCTAAATGATACAGATGTTTAGAAAAATTGGCAATTATTTTTATTTAGTACATTAAACTTTACTAAAGTTAACAGGTAATTTAACAACAACAAATGCGAGTTTAAAAATACTAGGTGCTACTGTAATTAGAAATTAAGCACTTTTACAGATTTCATTATGTTCATTATTAGTAAAATTTTATTTCAATGCTTAGTCCTGTAAATCTACAAAGCTATATTTTCGTAATATAGCCAATATGATTGTGAACATGAAAATGTTACATGGAATTAAAAATAAATAACCTAATACAAACCTAATACAAAAATGTAATTACATTTAACAATGTTTTGTAAGAATTACAATAATATGGAAAAAGCTTAAAAATTATGTTTCTCCAGGGGCTTTTCTATTTTTAACGTGTCCGAAAGCCAAGCCGTTCGTCTTTATCTAGATTAATTTTTGGCAGTTCATCAATGTTAAGGCGGGTTGTTATCCGTCTCCAAGGTCACGCGTAACGGTAGCCCACCATTCACAGGAAGTCCTGTTTTACAGGTGTCGGAACTATTGTAAACGTAATGAATAAAATGACACCTGTGCATGGCCAGTTGTTGTTGTTAAAATAACAGAGATTCGTAAGTTACTCCTTTTCACGAGTTATAAAAATTTTTACATGCATTTAACGCCTCTCTTTTTGTAAGGATCTGGAGTAATTACAGTGTGTTTTAGTCCTTGCATTATGTTTTCATATGCTTCTTTTATAGCAGTCATTATCACTTAAAAGTAAATTAGCCTTCATAAGAGCATTCATTAGGAGATCATCAAAAACATTGTAATTTTTTTATACTTCAGTGTCATACAGAAACGGAAGAATTGTATTTTTTAAAATCTTTTGGTATTTTCGTACACGTTTCTTACGTTTTACGGTAGTTTATGGACAAAATGGAACAGTTTTGAGCTTTAGATTTAAATTTCGAAATACAAATCATGTATTAAATGCAGTATGTCACTAGGTGAAATAAGGTAAAAGCAGTACAATAGCTAAGTGATTGCGAAAGAATAAGAGTAGATTACTGCGACCTATTTGATCTCGCGATATCATATCCTACGGTATCTCACCTGTTATAAGTGAAAAACATCCTAAATAGTAAATACAAAAGGAAACAAATAAAAAGGAATTAATTGAAAAAACTATTTACAAAATTTTAAGTTACTTCGTATTATAGTATGTGCAATCGTACAATGTTGAATTGAAACGTGTCAAAAATTGCGAAATATACATTAGAACGATGTGTAAAACACATAACGCTGGTAGATTCTCGTGATTTATATCTATATAAATTCTACACATATAATAAAATTGGAGTTTCTGTAATATCAAAATAAAAATTTCAGATTTCGAAAAGATGATGTATTTGCGTTGCTGATAACGTAAATTTCGCAAAATCGCGTTCAAAATTCTTTCTCTAGCAGTCTGTCTGTCCGAAAGCCGCGTTTGTTCCGGATGATCTCCAAAACGGCTGGTCCGCTTTCGACGGGACTTGCAGTGACATAGACGGGCATATTATAGGCTAATTTTTTATCTTAATATTGTGTTGACGAAGTTGTGGGCAACAGCTAGTACATAATATGTATGGTCATATCATGTTAAGATATTTATTTTTAAAGGTTATCTGTCGCGAAATGTCGCCTAATACAAATAACTTTGGAACCAATTACAGATTGACAATACATCGTAGTCATAAATAGGTGATTTAAAGAAACTGATATGTTAATCTATGTTTATACTTACATATACCACCTTGTACCATGTATCGTTACTGTATGTAAACTGAAATAGGTATCATGTTCTACGCATAGTTCACGTCAATTATCACATCATACTGAACATAGATCGATATTCATTATTTAGATAATTAAGATTCAGAGTCATATCAGATCAAACGATATCGCAGTTTTAGCTAGATTTAATTGTATCTGATGTTGCATTATATATTATACAGTTTCACTTAGATATTAGATTATCCTTTATTTAGAGTTTGATAGACAAAGCTTTTCCAGATGGTGTAATGCGTGGTTCGCAGCACGCACGCCAACCATGTTAGCGTTGGTAGAACAACTTCGATTATACCTCGGTGGAGGATGTGAGTGCGAATGCATTTGTCAAGTGTGTGCGCCACCATCGCCTGCCGACTGCCGAATCCCGAAAAACTTGGGTGCCTTTAAATGTAGTCATTTGTTTTGATGACAATTATTGCCGGTATTTACACACATATGTTGAAAAACTGAACGTATTGCTATAATTGAAGGCATCTAATTTTTTTTGTCATACGCTCCCACATTCTATATATTGTAAATATTTTCATTTACGTAACTTTCTGTACGTAAATAAATGACTTTGAACGGGTCTAAAAGTACTTTAAAAATCAACTGCTCCATTTAATTTAATAATTTATATGTTTATTTTAAATCGTATTAAAATGGCTAACATTTATTTAGAACGATTATAGATTAATTACGGTGTGTCGTATAACTGCATGGTTAGTGTGATTTGTAATTAATTAAAATACAAACAAACCCTTTGTGTGCCCAACGGTAAATGCTGTGTAAAATAAATCTTTTAATGCTATAGGTACCTAAAGAAACAAATTTAAAGACTTTACGGATACTGACAAACTCGAAACATGGCAACAACAAGGACCTGATAGTTTACAAGTTACTGATCTGGCAGATATGATGCACTCGTTGTGCTTTCTTTTATTTTTGTGAAGAGGATGTAAAGATGCATCGGTAGACTATGTATTCAATGTTGTTGTTTGAACATGAATGAAGGTGCACGCTGCTGCCAAGAGTGGCGGGTGTTCCCTGCGTGTCACAAACGTGACTCAGCACACTCGGCCCTGAACTATTAGCGATAGAGAACGTCCTGAATGAAAACGTACCACGTGCACACTAACATACCTATGTACTTAGATTACTTGCCCCAAACCTGTTATGTTATCTGCAATAAATGCATTCAAAGTCAATTGTATATGATACGGACTTGTAAATAATCGATCGACTTTTCCGCAGGTGCTAACAATCCAAAAACAATTAAAAGCTGTCCTTTGTCCTAAATCATATTAGTTTTCTATATATGGAGAATTTTGCATCGTACATATGCAAAATTTTTTGTAATGCACAGTGTACTTCTTGATGTCGCACTGTTTCATTAGGAAACTTTATATGAAATTAGTCTTACACTTATGCTTTAGTTTAGCAATTAGCTTTAGACACATGGCAATTCTATTACGGTATTTTCGACCTTTACTCAATTCGAATGAAATCAATTTGTATTAGAAAATGATTGAGATTAGGCTAAATCGTAAACTCGTACATTCTTTATATTGCGATATCATGTTTATTTTTTTCATGTTATTTTGAATATTATAAAACATTATTTCCAATACTTTTGAGCGAGGTGTATAGTTTCTCTACACCAAAATGGATTTGACTGTGTGCCAAATATTTGAATATTACCAATAGAGACAGTAACGTTTCATATCGCTACATTTATTCTAAATCTGTATCCGTTATAATTGAAAAATATAGCTACATCAATACAGATTCCAGTTTATCCTCCATTGGGTAATGTCAGCCTAAATTTGCAGTACTACTAGCCTATTTTAGGCATTAATTCGCAACGTTTTAAGGGAATATTCTTAAATTCTGTTTTAGTGCACGTAAAACGACGTCTCAAAGGTCGGCCTGAGGTTAGAGCAAGGAGACAATGGTAGTTGTCATTAACCTTAGCACATTTTTATGTCTATCTTTTAGCATATGTTTTTATTCTTTGTTGATTGTAATCATATGTTATACGCTTTACAATCTATAATTATAAAACCTGGACATGTTAATATTGTGTGTCAAAGTTTAATCAAGTTTTGATATGATAAAGGACATTCTGTTAGAAAGTATGATAGTTTGTTTTATAATGTGTTGCATTGTTAAACTTGAGTTGCACACAATCATCGCTTAAAATATTCATTGTCCTGTTAAAGTAAACTGTGATTAACATTAAAACATAAATAACTTATTCTAAACAGGAAAAGGTGTATTGATAATAACGTGCGGTGATTTAGATGACAGGATTTTCTTAACAATCTCACTTTTGAGTTAAACTTCCGTATCGTGAATATTTTCGCAAAATTGTAATTAAATGAACAAAGAATATTTAAATAACTGTTCATAATTTATGTTTACAAAGTTCGATATCGTGGTGAGTTCTTCTGAATGAATCAAAGGAAGTACCTAACGTGGGGTGTCTGGTTCTTTTCGGTGTAAATCGTAATACGCTAAATCGTGTTTACATCTGTCGACTTCATCGCGAAACGCACAATAGCCTTCCTTGGGTTTTGAATACAAATTTATTAAGACTGTTGACCTTCGTGTCTGTTACATATTTATTATTTATTTCCTCAACTACACAATCATTAAAGGTACACAGGGCCAAATGTTGTTTAGATATGAGATGGATGTTATAAATTATTTTGCTTTAAAAATCTTTTAAGGAAGGTTAATACAACTGGTAAAAAAAGTAAAATTTTCCTTGGCATGTGTGTCGTGTAGGATTTTCCCGATTTGACTTATAAGAAGCCATGATATCGAAGAACGCAATCTTAGAATAATTAATTATGATTGCAGCGACTGCATCCCCGTGCGTGATTTACTTACCATAACAATACAATGCCACACTAGGCATTGGGTTTTGTACTATGGTATTAGTACGAATGACCAGGAAATTTTGCGATATAAACTGATAAATTTCTACTAATTTGGTTCAAATATTACCACAATGACAAGTATTGGTACAAAATACTGATCTAAGAAACATATAAGTAGGACTTTGATAGAAGTATAAGATATCTATTAGAGGTCTCATCTCTACGTATTTGTCTTTAGTACCTGACCTGACAATGAGTATTTCTGGGCTTTGATATAAATCTAGTCGCTGGTTATTTCTGTTTACCTGAGATGACTAGAACAGTACATTAACAAGAATCGAATGTTGCAGGCTCGTCGAGTCCATTCATATACGTGAACGAGTCGTGCCTGGAGTGCGAGCGAGTGCGGGCGGCGTGCGAGCGGCTGGGCGCGGTGGAACCGGCGCGCGCCGCGGACTCGCTGCCGTCGCCGCAGCCGCCGCCCGCGCCGCCTTCATACCTTGTAACCACACCTTTTGACGGAGACCTGTTCGATGCTGCACATAGGGCCAAGTATAGGTCAGTGTCGCTGCAGATTTAGTACAACACTAACACTTAATCCTCTAAAACATTCTAGCGTTATTTATAATTGGTCTAGTAGAACGTTCATAATATCTTGTGTTGTGTTGTGACTGCCACTATTACTTTCATCTCTATCTTTGTGTATTTAAAGTTTTAATCTTTAGTACTTTTTGTGACATAAAGTTAAATAAAAATAACTCTCCTGCGAATGGATAGTAGACGTTTATCCAAATTATTGTGTAGTCTATTAGCATTGAGCTTACGAGGCGTGAGTCAGTCGCGACGAAGTCGATTGTATGAACAATTTGAGTCGCAGCGCGCCGCGGAATGCTAACAGTGACGAAGCTTGCCGATGCCCGGCTTACGGCCGATTTACGACATCTATAAACTTACTTGAGAACGCACACCTCTGTATGTGTATACATTACACTCGCATCACTTATTTAGTAAGTAGATATACACATACATATCAAAGGTAGAAACTCGATCAATTATAAAGGCACACAAGCTATAACTAACAATCTGTACTTCTATCTACATTTTTATACTTAATATAGTATAGCGTAATCGCACATTTTTTTGTCATGTAGAATGTCAGCAATCACAGCATGTTTTGGTATATTTTTTTTAACAGAGAGCCTTACACTCACGACAGTCTATAGGCAATATGTTTTCCCGCTAGTTAACTTAGGGGTTAAAATTGGAAACATTTTTAAGCGGGAAAGGAATAAAAAGTACAAGCAAATAGCAAGATTTCTGATGTTTCCTTATAGATTATGTTTAAAATAAGCTGCATATTAAACTCTAATCAATATTGACGTAGAGTAGGTACTTAAACACTTAAAACGTGGCGCTATGTTTATTTGCTGTAAATCAATTTAAAACCACTCAACAACTCAATACCCAATGATTATCATAATTTATCGACGTTCATGAAATCTTTTCGGTGTTTACACACTAATAGACTGATTGTGTTTATTGATTGGTAGCAAAATATTTGTTTATATCTTTGAAATTTTAGATTCTTATACATCGAACGGTTTTATAGCGTTCTCTCACGGAATTACCTGTCGTTAAGCATTCAGGCAACCTTTGTAAGAATCATAATCGAAAATGTTACCCTGAACGCAAACCGGGGTTGTTTACACATGCAGAACGTTGATTCGTAAAAAGGTCGTGTATTCAGTGAGTGTATTTCATGGAATGATGTAAATAAAGGTGCGAGTGCGTGTGGGAGGGCGCCGCGGCGCGGCGGGTGCGACGAAGCGGCGGCGGCGGCGGGCGGCAGCGTAGCGCGAGGGTCGCCCTTGCGGCCGCGCGACGCTCCTCGCTATTTTCGGCCTTACATTCCTCGCGACTGTTTTTCAATCTAACGTGAAACGCATAACGCGCATGCCGCCTGCGCCTTTGTGTTCTCGACACGAATACACGATATAATTGCTTTTTGTCGATTCCTCTCACGTTTGATTGATTTACTCTATACGAATTAACGAAGCGAAATCGGAAATTGTGCGTGCGTTTGTCGATATGTGTGCGGCTTGCTAGTGATGTATTTATTGATTCGTTTTTATAACATGTGGAATAATTGTATCTTAAACAAGTGTTTTGCACATCGGACTAGTGTCTGATTATATGTAAAGTGTTACCAATGGGTCCCACACGGTTACCGTCGACACCGGAGGAGGAGGAAGCACCGCACGAACCGATATTGTGTCCGGATCAAAGATCGCCGGATATAGCACCACCGAAATGCATTCCGTAAGCATATTATACTCAATTTATTTGATGTTATATACCACTTAATTAGGCAATCGTAAAATTACCCTGCCTATAACCAAGGACTAGTATTTCTCAAGCGTAGTTCTCGTTCATATTGATTAGTGTTTTTTAAAATCGACCATATCCACATCGATTGCACGCGACCTGTTGTTGGTCAACATAATCGCTTTGAAATTGAAACAGGTACGTTTCTATTTTGTATAAATTAATAAAAAGTTATTTGGCTTCTTAATTTTCATTATTTATTCTTTAATTACATTTGTGTTTCATCACAGACATCGTTACGTAAACAATTTCAATACAATTCTAATGCTAAATTACAATAGAGAGTAAAATAGTGTTTAGTAAATTTAAATACAAGTTTCAGCTATGTAAAGTAATTTCCGAGCAGATTTGAAACCAGTGATTTAATCAACTTTAAATTTTCAATATGTATTCCGTCTCTAATATACCAATTATGCATATTTTTATACACACATCTTACACATAACTAGTAATATTTCATTGTATGTGATTACTTCAAGATGTGTTACATTCATACCAAGTTTAAATCGTCGAGGTGTTTTGTAAAATAAAAAAGCAACACTCCCAGTCCTTTAGCAGGTTGTATCCCACGTTTCTAATTGCCGCGTCATTATAATTGTAATATCAGTATATACAGAGACAACGTGACAGTCACGTAGTATCTAAAATCTACTCAGATCTTTCTATTATTAAAATAATGTGACGTATTTACTTGTTTAACGTCAGTTATCAATAATATGTGGGATAATGTTAAACATTAGAAGATTAACACCATGAGGTGTTATCTTAATAACGTAGCTTACATTGGAGCTTTCCCACGTTCTGATAATGCTTTACATTCATTTGTTGAAGATGTTGAATAGTCGGCCATTATAGACGTCGAGAATACAAGATGTAAACATTACCTTGTTTGATATTTTATAGGCTACGAAGACGCCGCACTTCGACGACTCGACTAAACAGACATTTTCACACATCCAAAGGGAAGTTATTCTACACGCATTGCTCCCATCAAAACTGATAAGAAATCAAATTGCAAATATTTAGGCATAACACTGTATACATGTCAGTTTTATATGCATAATAATACAATGCGCATGGAATACGTTTCTATACATTTTTTTTTGAAATCAGAATGACTTTAAAACAATGACAAATTAAAAAGTTCACTCTGTCTTTAGGCCGCAGCATATTTGTACGTTGTCAAAAGTTATAATTAAACGCGTTAATTAGACGCGTGAGATCATAGTAATGTTTGTATTTCTTGTTATCACAACATCGCAGACGGTGGGCTAATAGTATTCATAGTCCATATTGCAGTTATCATTTCGTTCGTTATTAAATTGATATCTTTTGAGATTTGAGTCGATGTTTATGTCCATATATCTAAAACCTAATAAACTAAAAGTATCTCACATGTAAATAGTGACTCTTTCTTCAACTCAGCATCATGAGTGCCTAAGATAGTAGACTAAAATGTTACTGACCCAGTTCCCGATCCGAAGCTACTATTATAAGTTCCTTTTAAAGTGGCTATTAACGAATTAAAAGAAAAATCAAATTCAAAGTGTTTAAATAACAAAAAAAACATGCAGACGAATTGAGTACCTCTTTCTTTTCGGAAGTCGGTCAAAAATTAACAATAATCACATTTATTAAATTCGTAGAAGCATGTAGTATTATTCCGTTTAACCCAATTCAATCTTTAGAAAATCGCTGTGTTTGTCGGAATTCGAATGTAATTCGTCAGAACTATTTCGAACGGTCTCCGAGCCCACGATATTCGTGTGTGGTTGTGTCCTGTGACGTCACGCCAGCGTCGGTAGGAAGCACGCGTCACTCGCGACGTGCCAGTCTACCGCCCGACGCGATCATTCAAAGTTTTTTTTGCTACAAGTACAGTCGCCTTCATTAGGGGTTTTCCAGTTACACAAAAAAATTCACGCACCTTGAAACGAACTTAACCTCCCAACTCCCCATTAAAACTTGACTTTTTGATCAATAGAAAAATAACTGAGGTACTTGCAGTCTACCCAAGAGTAGGATGTAGTATGGAATAGCCAATTTTCAATATTTATTGGCCTTACAAAACATTCTACATGTTCAACGATTGTCGCTTCTTAATGCCCGTTTCACCCTTGGCCAATACAGTTGGACATTTGCGCCAACCGGGAATAGATTGTATGGATTCACTGTCGCCAGTTTGTGTTCAGAAGATGCCAGTGCCAGTTCAGTTATTGAGCGCTATGGGCTAGGAGTGTAGGAGATAAAGGTACCGCTACCGAATTCGACTGTACATTGCTGTTTGCTAACAAGTACGACCCGGCTCCAGTGCTATTCACAGCTAGCGATAGCGCTCATTTTGGAAAACGATGTTCGACACTTTCCGGTAATAAATATAGACATAATGCGAATAAAATACATTAGTAATCTTCAAGGAACTCGTACAAGAAGAAAGCTAATACAAACAGTCAATTGTTTGTATAATAAACAAATTGTACTCCAAAGTGTCTTAGGTAATTTAAAACATTACGTTATTTGTTTCGGTTAACATGTTATAGAAATTTAACAATACATTGAAATCATTAGTCATAAATAGAAACATTTATATAAATAACACATATTGATATTATGTTCTATTGTTTTCGACAGTCCCATTCACCTTAAAACTGAAACCAATTCCACTAGCAGAATACCTTCTAAATCATAATATAGTTCTGCGTATGTGTTTGATATTATAAAAATCTATTCACTTGTTTCTTTTGTTTATTTAATTGATTTACTTTAATGTTTTATAATTATTTTCATATTTTTAAAAAACGTCTTGGCCCAAATATTGAAGGTAACTTTTTGCCTGTACAAACAGCTTGCCCAACGAAACGACAATGTCAGTTCCGGTAATTGTTTAGCAAATCAAATCAAGTGTGCAATATCACAATTATGTCGCCTCCTAGTGATCTAAACCGTGATTTTAGAATCATAATAACTTGTTTGATTTTTTCAGTCTATAGTATTTTGAAATTGTAATAATTAATTAACTATTAATTGTTGCAAAAATTTGTCTCACTCGAGAACGAGAAAAATTGTACTAGATAGTGTTCAGTCCGTACGAATAGTAGTTGCGAGTAAAATATAAAAGCGTGTGTGCTCTTTTATTGTTATCTGTTTGTTGTATGATAAAAGTGTATTTTTTACCAATTGCATGTAACATTAGGGTGCTGGGGCCGACGGCGGTGCTGCAGCTGGCGGAGCGCGACGAGCCGCCGCCCGCCAATGCGCGTCCGCTCTACTCGCTTGCGATGCGCGGAGCCGTTATATGCTTTTCGGGATTCCGAAAAAAAGATGAACTAGTAAGTTTTTCACAATTTTAAATTTTATTCCATCATTCATCTTACTTCTTACTAATATTATAAATGCGAAAGTTTAGATGGATGGATGGATGTTTGTTAGCGTTTGTAGCCTAAACGGCTGAACAGATCTCCATGAAATTTTGCACAGGTTTAGAGCGTAGTCTGGAAGAACACATAGGCTATTTTTTATCCCTGGAATAGTTACGGTTCCCGTGGGATTCATTAATTTAGTTTTTTAATGTTTACTCGATCATTCTGCAACGGTTCAACATATCTTATTGAAATTTGGCACAGATAGAAAACAAAGTCTGGAGTATCCCCGAGAAATGTCCGGTTCCCGAGGGATACGTAGCTTTTTGTAATTTTTATAGTTTGCATGTTTTCTAATACCACGCGTACGAAGTCGCGGGCATCAGCTCGTTCAACTATAATTTAATATATAAAATTCGCTAATTTTAATATAAAGTAGTTACAAAACCAAGTTACGTATTATGGTAGATAATAGCAATATTGTCTATAGCTCTGCTGAGTTTATTAGTTTCCAAAAATCGTAAAGTAAATTTAAAAATTGAATAAACGAATAAACTAATTTAATATGTTTTTATCTGTTTACATACACTTTAAACATTGTTATCGTTAATTTTTAACGTACATATTTATAACAATGTGAAGCCGAGCCGGCCTGCTTCCATTTGCAATAATAGCGCACTTGAATATCAGCCGGCCCACTTGACGCGTGCAGTGTCTGGGCATGTAGTTAGAAACGGTTCAATTTCTCGTCCGATCAAGGTCATTTTATTACCAAAGACCATGTTTTGTATTGAAAATTATAAAACGGAATTGTTGAACCATTATGTCAATGATATTATTTAATTACTATATCTAAAAGACATAGGTTATTGGACTTACTATCTCTCAAACTACTCGCTTAAGACATTAAAAACGTTTTTAGGATCGATACTCTAGAACGTATTTCTAATTAGCAAGAACCAATACTATCAATGAATCGATTAATTGAAATTTTCCAATATTCTGTGTTAAAGGATCTCATTTTCCCTGTCCGTCAAATGTTGCCGGGAAGCGTGAAATGACTCATTTGTAACACATGAGTAAAATTTGCTTCGTATGTTTGTTATTATTGTTTCATTTTCTCAGTAACGTGTTTTCTTTATTTTGCATAACTTATTTGTTATAATAATACTTTTTCTCTTAAAATGTTGCCATCGTTCTACTTTGAAATGAACATTACATATGTACATAGGTAAACACAAACATGGAAATTTATCGCCGCGTAGTCTACTTCAAGCAAGTAATTTATGTTTGCTAAGTGAAATTAAGCGGTAATGTAGTAAATACAGATAAAAACCTCTAGAACTCGTACTTTATATTGGTTTTTAACGGTTAAGAATGATTTGTTTTTATTTTTTAAGAAAAATTTAGGTTACATACCCAAAAATCGAAATTTGTAAATAACTTAACACATGTAACAATTTTGGTCATTGTCAACAATTGCATTAACGCCGCTTTGATGTATGAGTTGAGCGCTACTAAAACACGTGTTACAATAAATCTGGATTAGCATGAGATTTACGAGGTATGCAAATCAACTTAAAGCGGCGGTAGCGCCACTCGGTGGCGGCAGTTGTTACATAAACAGATCGGCTGAAACGGAAAAGGGCCAATTCCTTATCTTACTAATATTATAAATGCGAAAAGTTTATTTGGATGAATGTTTGGTATAGTTTGTAGGCTAAACTGCAGAATGAATCTCGATGAAATTTGGCATAGATGTTGAGGATAGTCTGGACGAACACATGACTACGTACTTTTTTTTTAATTCAACGCGGATGGAGACGTGGGTGAAAGCTAGTAAAGAAATAAATCAAGCAAACAGCCCCATTTTAATCGACCTTCTGTAATTATTGTGTCGTAACTCCCTATATTTCCACAGACGTACCTGATAACTCTGATCCACTACATGGGCGGGTCGATCCGCAAGGACATGTCGAGCAAGGTGACGCACCTGATTGCGGCAGCTGCGACGGGCGACAAGTACCGCTACGCCACGGGTTTCGGCCTACCAGTACTGGCGCGCTCCTGGGTCGACGCCTGCTGGGAGCGCCGCGACGACCCCGCCTGCCTCGCCACAGACGATACGATCATTGTAAGTGTTCATTACAACAATAATTTAAAAATCACGCAGTATTGAATAGTATCTAATATAGTATTTCATGCTTGTTAAAAACATAAACTTAATGCGTTTAAGGTCTTTATCGTAGATAGGTAGATATTTAATTTTTCCTAAGTATGTAGGTCTCTTAGAAAAGTAGGTTACAATTGGTTTCTACACACTATGTTATCGCGATGTAGATATCTCGAGAGGTTTGGTTTTTATTATCGTTAATATGACAACAAATGTAGTATTATAAGATTGTTGCAGTTTTATATCAGTTTATAGTAAATGTGACCGAAAAATATAATATAGTGCTTTGAATGGTTGAACGGTGTTTTCAGTTAATATAAATACACCCGCCACCCCCTTAATACATCGATTTGTTCATTGTAAGTGGTATTTTTATGTATTTCACAGAAAGAACACAAGTTAAAAGTGTTTGCTGGTGCGCGGGTGTGCTTCGTGGGGTTCCCCGAGGATGAGACGCAGCACATGGCGGAGGTGCTCGCCAGCAACGGCGGCGCCACCTGCGCCCTCGACGACCCGGAGTGCACGCACGTCGTGAGTACCACACATATTTTCTACGGGGTTAAAAACGCCACTATTACAATACACCGATTGAAATGTACATTCAAACGTTATTAAAAATCCTTTTACAGTACGAAATAATGTCAATTTCAGTGTTATAATTTTAAATCCAACGAAAATTACAAACTTAAATGCGCCATTCATATAAATTAAGTATTTTTGTAGCAACGATCTCAATTAAAATTAACCTTACTTGAAGTGAATCAACTTATTGTTGATTATACCGACTAATTAGTTTAGTTCCAACGTTTACCGTAAAATTCCGTACTGTTATTTGGTTTCAATGCAAATGAATGTAAAAAAAATATACGATATCATATTTTGAATAACTGACGATGTTTCTTTTCATTAAATAACTATTGGAATAGGAATAAACAATAGAAAACATAATCAGTAAATAATTTATTCATTGTTTTAAACGTAGACTTTAGACATTCAACTACTTTAAAGTTTTATTGTAATAAAATCAAAGTAATATAAAGTTTGTTTACATGCGCGTCGTGAGCGCACGTACACAAGTCGGCCGGCGCGTGAGGTTGTCGCTTCCGCTCGCTCTATGGTCCGACCGTTAATTCGAACGGTATTGCTAATGTCTTAATTATTTTGGGACTTGTGAACTTTTTAATACGATTAAATTGCTTCTAAACAATTAAAAAAAAACATAAATATAAGTGTAAAATATATTCTATCGATCATATGCAATTCCTAAAGTAATAACGAAATGGAACAGTCGTCAGTAATCGTCAAACCGATAGTGATCTGATATCTTTGTCACGTAATATACCTATATGACAGTTTATTTTTAAACTTTATGGCACATTCGTCATTCATTAGTTTTAGCTCAATAGAATTAGCATGCTAGTAGTATCCTTAGGAATAGAAATCTTAGTTTAGTTATTCTGTAGACATTTTAAATTATGCTGTAGTCACTTCCTTTATATATTTAAGGTGTATTCATAGTCTAGTAATTGCTTAACGTTTAGCGACATTTTCATGACCGTATGCCGTGTAACGTTTATAGTTATTTCCGTATGAAGTAAAAGCGATCTCGTTTATTATTTGACAGCCGTAATTATAATTTCCATCCAAATTATTGTTTGTTTTCAATATTAGTTCTTTCCTTTATAAGAATGGGCCTTCCTTATACATCGCCGAGTCTTCCCCAGACTCGGTATATATAATTCGTCACGACCTATTCCGCACGGCGCAAGTCGACCCATTGTCTATTCACCACTTTTGTTTCGCTGCATTTCAGTTAGCACACCATGTTATCATTCCACGTCTCTGACATCGCTTTGATTTTTCAGTATCAATTTTATACTTGTGTGTACTTCGCTTCCGTGTACTGACTATCATAAATCTTCATAGTAATGAACACTGGTTGTTTACACATTGTCATACTTCAATCACGTTTGTTTCTCTTAACGTATTTTGCACCAATTTATAATCTTTTTCTTTCTGTTACTATCTTGTTTTATTTATAGAAACTTTATTCTTTGCGATTGTTCAGCCTTTCATGATTTCATCCATGACGCTTAAATACGAGCAATAAAATGTGTTACGTTCACAACTTTAATGTATGTTAGGTAGATGCTTTTACGTGTTTAACTACCTTTCTCACGATGGTAATAATATCGTTCTGCATGTTTGTACTGGAATGGCTTCATTACATCATTGCGTGGTGTGTTTCACACATGTTTCAGGTAATGGCCAATGGGGAGACTTTCGGTCGTTCGCTTATCCTATCACCTCCTGCCATCACTCCAGAAACCTCCGCAAAACCCTCACGAAACACACCTAATCGCTCCCAAAACACGCCCAAGACTTCATTGTACCGTAGATTATCAGCGCGACTGTCGGGTCGCCGAACCAGTCCCAGCAAACACGATGTTGATTCCACTGATAATCGTTCTCGAGACGAAAGAGAACAGCGCTTGGAGCGCGCAAGAAACAGTATTAAACCAAACCAAAGCAAAGATGAAACAGATAACTCGAGAGTTAGCTACGTAGGAAAGTCATTTATTGATGATTCGTGCACTAATAGCGATAGAAACCAAAGTACTGGCCAAACAGAGACAGTTGAGATACGGCAATACAAAACTTGCGGCAAGGAAAACAAATACGCTTCGCAAGCCCTACTCGGAAGTAGATTAAGCAGCAAAGATAAAAGGGAAGTTTTTAGAAATAAGTCCATCAACGTTTTCAATCTAGTGGAGTGTCTCACAGAAGCGGGTTCGCTTCATTCGTCGTTAACTAAAAGCTTGTGTGACCTGGACTGCAAGGACGAATCGGGTTTTCTTTTGCCCGCGTCCGCCATCAGCAAGGAACTGCAACATTCAACTACTACGATATCCTCTGGTAAAAAGAGAAGTAGGAATTCAACCGAATCCAACTTTCAAGTGAGCGTGGTCGATGCCAATATTTCACCTGACAAATGTGACGAAAGTAACTGGAAATCTATTAAAAGATTAAAAATTAAAGACTCCTTCAAATTCAAGAACCGGCCTACCATTTTTAAAAGAACAAAAAAGGAGCCTGTATCAAAAACCGTGGGGGACATAACAGTGGAGCCAGTTAGCCCTGATAGTTTAAAGCCAACCGATCCCGCCGGTGAATTTGTAGCATCGACGTCTTCTCCGATCAGAGAAGACGATAACGCCTCTGTTAGTTCGCTAAATATAAGCAAACAATCGGGATTTTTTGACATTTCTTTCGCATCCATACGAAGCTCGAAGACAGTGAAGTCCGCTTCAAAGTTACGGAGAAGTGTTAAATCGTTCACTGCTTCCTTCAGAAGCGAAAGGAAGAAGAAATATGAAAAAAGGGCAGAACGTAACACGGTCGAAGTGAATCCATGTCACCTGCCATCGGATTTAAAAAATGTTTCCACGCCCAAGAGAGAGCTCGATGTGATGAACTTGGACATATCGCCGGTGCAAGTCGACACAATCGACAGCACAGACATGCGGACGCCGCGCAAAGATGAAACCGACGTCGAGGATTACGACGACTCGGTGATATTCAAAACTCCTCAGCGAGTGTGGCTGCGGACTCACCGTCACTCTATTTGCGGTGGCGCGGATCTGAAAACGAGCGTATCGCAGTCGTGTAGCGCCATCCCCGCCCCCGCCCCCACCGCCGCACTCCTCTCCGCTCCCTCGCACTCGTGCGCCCCCTCCCCCGCGCTCCGGCCCGCCCGCGACCAGCCGCAGCCCGCCTCGACGCCTCCCACCCGCGACGTCCGCGCCATATCGCAATGCCATGGACTATCGCTGCCGGTACTAACACCATTTAATTCCGTACTACTAAATTAGACTAAACTTGTCATGCCATAGACATTAGGCTCTATCGTTACGATAACAATAATGAAAGCCTCATTTCTGTCAAAACGCAAGCTATATGCATGTCCTCTTTAGTTTATTCAGATTGTGCAGGCGCTTACATGTGCACAAAGGAATGGGATTATTGGATGCGGAACATTTCAGCATTGTATTTAATCTAATTAAACGAACCTGAGAGAACTATTAGATAATTCATTTTTTTTATTATAAATACACACAGGTTGTAGACGTACACAACACGGGCGTGGCACCCGAGTGCTCTCCGAGAGTGCACATAGTTAAAGCCGAATGGTTTTGGGCTTCAGTACAAAACGAAGAGGCGCAGGACGAGAGAGAGTTTCTATTTAAAGACGTAAGTATAGTAAAGACATAAAATGTGAATAACAAAAGTCTCGTTATTACATAATAGAGTTTGATAAAAAAAACATCTTTGTCTAGTATCTGGAAGAGGTGTCGCGACGGTCGTCAGTGGGCGCGGCGTGCGGCGCGGCGGGCGCGGGCGGCGAGGAGGCGGGCGCGGGCACGCCCTCGCAGGCGCAGCGGCTGCGCAAGCGCAAGCTGCGCGGCGGCGAGGCGGCGCTGCACAAGCGGCGCTCCTCCTTCAGCGACGCCGTGCTGCTCAGCCTGTCCGGCAACCTGCTCGACTGCACGCCCTCGCCAGACGGCAAACAACTTCTCGAAGGTGAAATATAACATGCTATACTATATTAGTAATTTGCTAAGTAAGGTTTTTCATTGTTTAATCACCTCTCTCGTCTGTTTTAGAGTCTGAAGTACCTGATAATGTGGTGCGAAAGCTAATGTCCCCGAGGCAACAAGTTTTCATGGAGTTATTACAAACGGAGTCAAACTATGTCGGCATTCTGCATACTATAGTCACTGTAAGTTTTTCTTATTGTATTTTTGTGTCTATATGTAAATGTTTCTTTGATTTTTTCTTCACTTTAAAATTTATTTACATATATATACATACTATGTTTATTATCTAAATGTTCATTCGTATTTTTCAGTTGTTTAAACAACCCTTAGAAGAGATGACAGAAGAGGATACCAGTAACGGAAAGAACCAGGCTTTGCTCAATAACACGGAACTTAAAATTATTTTTGGAAACTTACCTCTTATTTACGAATTGCACCAGTAAGTAAATGTATTAATCTGACAAGCAATATAATCACTAAATAAAAAAGAAAGTATTGTTCAATGACGTAAGTTTTCAACAGTGATTGTGTCGTCAGTACGTAAGGCTAAGGCTGTGTCTCCCGCAGACGCATGCTGGAGGAGCTGCGGTACGCGCAGGCGCACTGGAGCGAGGAGGTGAGCATCGGGCGGCTGGTGCTGCGCTACACGCCCGACATGGTGAAGGCCTACCCGCCCTTCGTCAACTTCTTCGAGAACACCAAAGAGATGCTGCAGCAGTGCGATCGTGAGAACCCTAGGTGACCCATCTTACTTCTTACTAATGTTTTAAATGAGGAAGTTTCGATGGTTGACTGCATGGATGGATATTTGTTAAAGTTTGTAGCCTAATCTGCGGAATGGATCTCAATGAATTTTGGCAAAGATGTCGATGATGTCATAGATATACTCATAGGATACCTACTTTTTTTTTAATTCCACGCGGCCAGTGTCGCGGACGAAAGCTAGTTATAGATCTTACCCCTGTCGCTGTTGTGATGTCTAATGCTTATTTTTATCTGAAACCTAATCGTAACTTTATTTCTTTAAACTACCTATCTAATTTTAAAATCTTGTTTGGTTTTAGATTTCATGCATTCCTGAAAATATGCCAGACGAGACCGGAGTGCGGCAGACAGAGCCTGCAGGAGCTCCTGATCAGACCGGTGCAGCGGCTACCTAGTATAAGCTTATTGTTAGACGGTCAGTATATACTGCATAACTTCCTCCTATTGTACAAACTGGTACAGGTTAAATTGTAAAAAATGTTTTTAATTTGTGTTGCATTGATAGCCACCACCATGTCTTTGATTAGTTAATCTTTTATGTAATCATATTGATATTATAAATCCGAAAGTTTAGATGTATGTTACTACGTATATCCAAAATGACTTAACGGAAATTAGACACAGATGTAGAAGAGAATTTGACATAGTGTGGAAGAAAACTTAGGTTTTTAAGTTTTTTTTCTTTCCGCGCGGTCAAAGTCGTGGGTAATGGGTAGTAGTTGTATATGTGATCGTTTTGCAGATATATTGAAGCACACGCACAAGAACAACCCGGACCACGCGGCGCTGGTGTCGGCGCTGGCGGGGCTGCGCGAGGTCATGTCGCACATCAACGAGGACAAGCGCAAGACGGAGGGCCAGCTGCAGATGTTCGACATATACAACGACATCGACCAGTGCCCGGTAAGCTACCCTACTAATAATCTGCTGCTAATAATCTATACTAATATAATAAACCGTAAAAACGCACTACTTCGTGGCGTAGAATGTCAGCATTCACAGCATCTTTCTGTATAGTATTTTTTTATAATAAAAAGTCGTACACTGACGACATGCTTTAGGCTATATATTTGCATGGTATTTAACTTAGGGATTGTTTAATTTGAAAAAGTCATGCTGGAAAGGGACAAAAACTACAAGCTGGCAACATTAAGGAAGCACAGTTGACATGGCAACGGTAATCGTTATGGATAACGATTAACGGCATTGGAATGCCAAGCCTTCGTTGTCATTATATGTATTTGAATTTTGACATTTGCAAATGAAAATTTCACAGATGTAAACAATGAAATTAAGTTTTTATAATTTCATGCGGATAAAGCCGCACGGGAACAGCAAGTCACATTATATTGAAATATTTTCAGGCGCATCTCGTGTCGTCGCATCGATCGTTCGTGTCCCGCTGCGAGGTCGTCGAGCTGTCCAAAGAGCTCTCTGGCAGGGGAGACCACCTTGTACTGTTTTTATTCACTGACACCATGGAAGTGTGCAAGAAAAGATCAAAAGTGAGTTTACAATATGACGATATCTTCGACTTTTAGTTGTCGACTGTACTCAACTTTTAATTAACTTTTTTTCAGGCTTTCAACAGTAAAAGTCCTACTAATGGTATGGGTACGATGCGAATAGGTTCAAGTAAACCCTACAGACATATATCGCTGATGCCTCTCAGTACGGTGAAGCGCGTCGTTGATATTAGAGAAGCTGAAGGTAAAAAAGATTTGTTATTCACAGCGTTTATTTAATGAACATTAAAATAGTCACTTAGTGTTTGTTTGTTATATTTGATGTGGAGTGGTATGAATTTACAGATTGTCACAACGTATTCGCGCTAATGTGCCGGAGTAATCAAGAGCTAAAAGAGAAGCTGTACTCATTCATGATCACGGACGAGACGGTCGACAAGTCGCACTTCCTCCGACAGCTCTGCAGGCAGATGGCCAACACCGTCTGCAAAGCTGATGCCGTATGTAGTACAATCACCTTATCTTTGTACTACAACTGTGAACATACATGAAATCGTAATTAATTTAATTTCGTCATTGTCAAGAAGAATGATCGATGTAAAATAACTGTATATATTTGCAATTTAAACATTTTAATGACTGTGTAGTATTAGAAGTAGTGTGCCTGATATAACAAAATGCAATGCATAATTACAGATATTGCATGTTTCCAAAAAAGAGAAAGGAAAATCAATAATGTTTTATGATTAATTTTCATTGCAAATTTCTTAAACCTAATAAGAAGGTGGAATTTTTGTATATCCTAAAATGTTAGCAATAATGAAAAGATATTATTTGTTGCGATTGCAGGACAAATTCCTGGCGTGCCTGGAGTCGCACCAGCTCGACATCGACACGAGCGACCTCGCACTCAGCACACTCTCCAGGGTCTCCAAGTTCGCCGCGCGCACGCGCATCAAGGTACACAGACAAACATCGTCCATATCCAAGTAATCTATTCGTAGTTGGGCGATGGGTCTAGTTTTTATATTTTACACTTTTAAATGTGGGCATGTTTTTTATATGACTGTTATGCAACCAGCTTTGCTTCAATGGAAAGTAAAGACTTTTCAAATATTATTTTTGAGTCAAAATGTCATTTTGGTCAATTATAGCAGTCATATTAATTTTACTTATAAGTTATATAAAAGTGTGAGCTTTTCTAGAAGCAAATTTTACGCTAAATAATTACAATCAATATTGTCTAAATGTGACTAAGGCATGACTGCGATATTACATTACAGTTCATAAATTTTGTTAAATATACATTTAATGTACATGCTTCTTAAACACTTCATTTAATTTTATCGAAGAAAATGTTCAGAAGTAAGAAAAAACTATTTTAATCTTCGTGTATAGTTAATTTAGTGATATCGTAACCAAATTATTATTTTGGTTGTTTATGCAACGACTATAGAAGATTGGAGATATCATTATAATAAAATCGTTCCTAGAGCAGTAAGTACAGGTTTAAGGTTAGTTAGCTTATGTACAATAGCCTACATCAGGTCTGACCCGGATCTCGTAACATAATAAGATCTGTAGTAATACATAAGTTTTCTAGTTGCTGTAAATAATGTACATACATATATGCATAGTTGTTACAACTGCAATAGACACAATAACAGTAGATGCTTAATATTATAAAAAAATTTGTACGTAATAGAAAAAAATATGTTTAAGATTTAATATGCTGTATAAACAGGTTTACATTCTAAATAGGTACTGTATGTATTTAAGTCATTCATTGAACCAAAGTAAGGCAAGAAGCCTGTGGAGTGAAAGAATGTGCCGGTCTCCTCGCTACCGGCGTTCGGATACGGTGGAGTACCGAGCAAAGAGCATACATGCACAGAGTGCGGAGGTGGTGTAGAGAGTGCAGGGGTGGTTAGTGTTGGGGGTGTGTTCCAGCTGGAGGCGCTGGCCGGGCTGGGCGGCTGGCTGCGCGCCGAGCCGGGCGCCGCGCTGCTAGACACATGGGTATTGCGCGCTCACTTACTCGCACAGGTCTGACGCGCATCGAGCACTCCTCAAACTAATTCATACACGTTACACGCTGCTTCCCGCCGTTCACAATCCGACATCATATCTGCACAGTATACCTTCAAAATATCACGCCTTCTTCGTAACGCAACACTTATGGTCTCTAGTTTATGTTCTTATGTCGGTTGGGTTATTTTTTTCCTTTATTTTCGTTGGTCGCGGGAATCAGCGTGATTATGGTAATAGGTTGTTGCTTGATTCGACAAATCGCACACATCGTTCGAAAATTCATTTAACAGCAGATTCATGCCATCAAGTTGCATACAAATCATAAAAAGTTTATAAAAGTCAAGAAGGGACAGCTATGCAGAGGAGAGACTCGGGAACTAACGCTTCGCTTCCAATCATTTGTGATTAACTCCATTGTAATTGTTTGTGAGCGTGCCATACCTAATGTGATTTGTTATAATTTTTCTCTTGTGTCGTAGAACAACAAATATTTGAATATTGTACCAATGTTCATAAATAATCATTGCTATTTGTTACTTTGCGCCGATCTGGTACGGAGAGGTGATAAAGATCATTATACATTGATCAAGGTTATTGTTGGCTGCATGTTTATTTATGTAAAACTGTTTTATATTGTGTTCTTCGCTAAAAGTTTGTGGCTATAGCATCAGCTGACTTGGTGCAATGTTTTACTTGTGCTGTTTACGGAGCCCTGATTTTTAATGTGTGATATGGGTAGCTTACTATGGGTAACTTTTTGTTTGCTTTGGTGGTTGGACACCTAGAAATGGAATATTCATATGTTATTATTTGAGAACTTACTGCGTAAAAGATTTTAAAAGTGTTTCAAGAAATATATAATTACAATGAATGTGCCTGTATACTCGTTTTGAATACATCTCATATATACAGAGCAATGAGACGTTACAGAGCGTGTAACCGCGTAGAGGTAGAGTAGAAGATAGTAGTATAATGCAGTCTGTGCGGTGCAGGTGGGACGCGCGCTGTCCTTCAACAAGACGCCGTCGAAGTTGAAGCGCGCCATGTCCTCCATGATCTCGCCCTTCGGCTCCACCTCCAACCTGACGCCCGCCTCGCAGCTCGCGCAGATGAGGCTCGCCAGTTGCAACAATATCAACGTAAGTTACATTATATCACGGTTACATAAAGTGTTTACCATTGACTAATATTTGGATTAATATATCATGAATTTATTAAAAAAAAGTCGTCACAATATAAGCAATGTAATACATGTACATATATGTAATACATATGAAATTATATTAAATAATTATACAATTTCTTAAACGATTCACCCGATAAAAAGAAATCTTATTGACAGCCCTTGAAATGAGTAGTATATTGTAACGACTAAATGAAATTGTTCAAATTCATTGGAGTTGACCTTAAGTGTTTTTATTGACTACCAAGCTGCGTAAGAGTTGGAATCCATCGCAGAGGAAAGAAGATTAGAAGAGTCCAGACGAGAGAAGTAACATGGTAGTGTTATTGCTTTAACTATTTAAAAATATGTATGACGGTAATATAATATATGTATTTTACATACTTTTAAGGAAGACAAAAAAATATGAGAATCCCTAGAATGTGATATGCAAAAGATGAGTTCAGATTACCTAAAATGTCTACTAACCGCCATTATGTTATTTTGTATTATACAAAAGTAGATCACGATCAATTGTGTATTTCTCGCGAGTATCAATACTGTTTATATGTACCTATAATGTTTTAATGTGTTGTATTGTATGTAGGAGATGGGCACGAGCGGCGGCAGCGGGGCGGAGGGCGGCGGCGAGGTGCTGGTGGCGCCGCTGTCGGTGCAGCCCACGCGCAAGGCGGCCGGAGCGCGCGCGCCCGCGCTGCGCCGCTTCTGACCGCGCGCCGCATCGCCGCATAAACCAGTGCTAGTTTATAAACAGGGATGTGGCAATCACGAAGACGGTTCGGGCTAGACGGACGCTATAGGTATCGATGTGCCTTGCCTTGGAAGGGTATTGAAATGAGATGGATTAATTTATTCGATAGTATTATGGAAATGGTTAACGGCCTCGATTATGTTTTAGTGATTTATTCATGTGAGATTGTAGTTTTAAAATGTTGAATCTAAAACTCTCGATTATACGCTACATGTAAATAGAAGGCGGCTTTAGCGTACGCGATTTCATTGTTAATTCGAATAATTATCTCCACTACTTTGCGAATAGACCAGTGGCCAGTCTCTGGGTTTGTGTAATACCATGGGTAAACATTAATTAGTTGTCATAACATGCGTCGTGTCACATAGTGTTATTGATATTATTGATATAGTTTTTATAATTTGTACATATTGTGATATTTTAATTTAATCATGAAATAAGCCTCGGTCGAACGTACGTAGAATAGTGTCGTATTTGTTAACCTACATTATCCGTCTGTTCACGTTAAACGTTCCTTATATTTGCCTTGTCGCTTTGTGTGAACCTCACGATGAGATGGATTGGCCCAGTGACCAACCTCTGTAGTACACATATTAAAGCCCGCTGCACATCTTCAGTTTTAACTGAACAGTCAAACAGTTAAAACTTATGATCGTATGCAAAATGTTAACTTTCAGTTAAACTGTACAGTTCTCAGTTTTGTCTTTACGCGTAAGTTTTCAGTACAGTTCGACTATTCATATAAAACTAAAAGTATGTAGCGAGTTTGTTCTATATGATTGTCGTCCTCCCAGTCGGCCGATGCGTAAGGGAACGCCTCGAATATCGGTATTCATTTTATGTACGCATCGTTTTGCAATGTACAAAGATTCATATTTATATTTTAATTGATTGAAGGAATAAACATTATTTTCAACAATCAAAGCTGTTTTACTTTATCACCCTATAGAGTTATAGCTGTAGCTCGAGACTTCGTCCGCGTGAAAAAAAAAGATAAATAGCCCATGTTACTCACTGATGACATAGCTTGTTAATGATAAAAGAATTTTTGAAATCGGCCCAGTACTTTTTGAGTTATTTCAATACATACTAAAATACAAAACTTTCCTCTTTATAATCTCACTAGATTTTGCTTGCGACTTCGGCTATGTTAAATGAATAAATAGTAAAAGATGTATCCTATGTTATTCAGTGATGACGTGGCTTTTTAATGGTGTAAGAA